GAGACAGAGAGAGAGAGAGAGAGAGAGAGAGAGAGAGAGAGAGAGAGGGAATGGTCTGTATAAAGAAATGCAGAGATTGTGGCTACCAGCATGACAGCTTCCTTTACAAATACCTTGTTAAACCAGAGAATCGATAGCTTTCCAAGTGGACTCAGAGGTTTGATTGAACTAAAAATCAACAGAGCAACTGCAACTGCAACTCGTTTCCCTTTTGTCAGACGTTTATGTCAGACAATCGAGAAAGAGCTTGAAACGCTCTCTCTCTTTCTCTTTCTTCGGTTCACTACTCTCTGTTGAATAGGATGATATCGTTCCATCTCTGAGAATATCCAAAGAAGCACCTCTAACTCTGCTGTAGGTCTTAACCTATGATACATCTCTCATTCTTGGTTTATTTTATCGCTTATTTTAATTAAAAAAAGCAAAATTTTAAATACTCTCTGCCAAACTTCCACATCACAGATCCATCTCTACAGCACGTTTCTTTCACCGTATCATCTCTGACTCTTACTCTTTCCCCAGCCCTCTCTCTTCCACTTGATCGTTGTCTCTCATTTTTTTTTTTTAGAAGTACGTGCACACATGCTCCTGCTGCTGCTGCTGCTGCTGCTGCTGCTGCTGCTGCTGCTGCTGTTGGTGCCGGGCGCCGTCCGCCGCCGAGTCAACAGTCTTGCTCGGTGCACTGGGTTGTGCTTTGGATACAAGACCTCACTGAACTCGGCCTCGTTTGTGGTGATAGGGTTGTTAGAGGTGCCGCTGTGCCGTGCCCTCGTTGGTGTGCCCCGCTTCCCACCTTTTGCAAATATTGTTCGTTGACAGCGTCGGCGCGATGATGCCGCTGCAGCTGCTGCGGGGCATCGGGCCTGCCAGACCGCAGTCGCTGCACCGCTGTGTCGCGGTTGTGGCCACGGTCAATCGACCTGTGGCGCTGGGTGTTGGTCGCGGCCTTGAACAGCGGCAGCATGCCCATGCCTCGCCCCGATGGGCCGCTGCAGGTTCGTCCGCGGCCCCTGCCAAGAAGGGGCACGTGACCCAGTATTACGAGGACCGCATTGCCCAGGGCGAGCTCGAGGCCAATGCGCTGCAGTTTGACCTTTGCGACCACTTGGACACCCTCTACCGACAAATGCACACCTACAAACCCCCGGCCACCTCTTGGCTAGGCAAGCTGCTCGGCGGCCGGCCCGACCCAGCCTCTGCCGTTCGCGGCCTCTACATTTGGGGCACGGTTGGTTCGGGCAAAACCATGCTCATGGACGCCTTTTTTGACCTGGTGCCCTACGAGCGTAAGCGCCGTGTTCACTTTCACAAGTTTATGCTCGATGTCCACAAACGCATCCACGCCCAAAAAATGGCCAACGTAGCCGACCCCATCCCCCCCGTCGCCGTTGACCTCATGCGCGAAGCCCCCCTCCTCTGTTTCGATGAGTTTCAAGTCACCGACGTCGCCGACGCCATGATCCTCAAGCGACTCTTTGCTGAAATGTTCCAGCGTGGTCTCGTCATGATCGCCACCTCCAACCGGCCCCCCGAAGACCTTTACAAGGGCGGCCTCCAGCGGAGCCAATTCCTCCCCTTCATCCCCCTGCTCAAGGCCCACACCACCGAAGTTCGCCTCTCCGCCGAAAAGGACTACCGCATGCAGGGCCTCATGAACAAACTCCAACAACAGTGCTTCTTCCATCCCCTCTCCGACTACCAAAACGCCGAAATGGAGCGCCTCTGGCAAGAGGTGTGCGCCGAAGAAGGCGCCCCCATCCAGGCAACCTCGCTTCAATTACAGGGCCGACAGCTCCGAGTGCCCCGAGCCTGTGGCCAAGTCGCTCACTTTTCCTTTCACGACCTATGCGAACAACCCGTCGCTGCCGCCGACTACCTCCGCATCACAGAAACCTTTCACACTGTCTTTCTCACCGGAGTGCCACGCCTCACCCGGAGCGATCGCGATGCTGCCCGCCGGTACGCCCCTCCCCCGTGCGCGTGCTCATTGTCCTGCCCAACTCTTCAAATGCAAACCGATTCTTTGCCATTATCCGCGGCTCATAAACCCACCGGGTCCTCACTCACATGTCCTTCTGGCTTCAGCTTCATTACGTTGGTAGACTGTCTGTACGACAACGCCGTGAAGCTGGTGTTTAGCGCCGCCGACGAGCCCCAAAACCTTTTTGCCCCCGAACCCCGCACCGGTCTTTCCGACAGCGAGCGAGCGTACGTGTTGAGCTTTCTTCTTCTTCTTCTTCTTCTTTCGCTTACCTTCCACTCATAGAGTGTCGCGCCCGACCAAATGCAAAACTCGCACCACTCACCTGGTTCCGTGCACCCTCTCGATCATGCCCTCACAGTCTCATGGACGATTTGAAGCTGGACATGAGCCACGTCGATGATGCTTCCATCTTCACTGGAGAGGACGAAAAGTTCGCTTGGGCTCGCTTGGTATCCCGTCTCAACGAGATGCAGTGCGCTGAATATTGGACAATGTGTCACAAGTTTTGGAAGCCTCAACAACAATAACGCTGGCTCCCTCCCAGCCAGGTGTCCCCCAGCGGCACTGGCGCAGCTTAGGCTTAGGCCCCGGGCAACAGCTCCAACCGGCAAACCGGCAACGCCGGCTAGCCTTGACATGATAATTGAAGCCCCTTGGTTGTGCGCACGCCTCGCTGTTTCATCCCTAAATTTCTTAACACGAAAAGCAGCCAGCACTCGTCCTGCCTCAAACAGTCGAAGCTCCAGCAAACTTGACTTGTCCTTTGACATGGGTGCGTATCGCAATGTGCGAGCTCAAACGCGCCTAATCCAGTAGCCAGACCATACGAAAGCGTTGCGCCTTGTGATTACGGGCTTGGCACGAAACCAGTTTGCCCAGCAGCCCAGCCCTTCATGTAGCAGCAAAAAGCAGGATTCAACCAACCCCTTACCAGCGCACTTTTCGCCGTGTCGTTGTCTTGCAGATCCAAGACCTTTTCAGCGCCTTCGACCGGCCCAAAGGCACAGAGGCGTTCCAAACCCTTGACCCGCATTGATCACAACAGATATGACAAGTGAGCCAAGGTCACGATTCAAATAAAAGTCAGCGTAATGATGCTCTTGAAGAGTCAACCCTCGCTGCTCTTCACTTCTTTTTGCATATGTTTTCAAACTTTGCCGATCGGCTCACCGGTCTTTGCGCTTGCCCCTCCAAGCAAAATGTGGCTGGAACACGGACCCTAATGTTTTCCATGACGTGACAAGAGACAAAATATGAGCCCGACCAAGCCAGCCATTGAATCAACTGGGACGACTTGGCCACCACCACACCTCGACGCGAGGGTGACTGCCGTAACAAAGTAGAGCATCATAAGATAAGCTTCAGCCAGAAGGTTCGTCTTCAGACCAGGGTCCGGGGTGACGACACCGAGATACAGCTAGACAAGGAACCATGTCCAATGTGAAGAAACAGCGCACGGGCAAGCCTGGGCCGAGCAGAGGGACGGCAAACCAATGACCAACCCGTGCTTCATTTCGGGCCAGCATGATTTGCGCACGGCCTACAACGATGACCGGGCAAGCGGGGTCTTCGGGCTGCTCTGACATGCAGATGAGCCAAACATAACAATCGGGGTCGGCGTGCAAGACTTCCAGAGCCCCCGCTTCCTGACCAAGTGAAACACGATGAGTATGCAAAGCTAAAAGCGCAACACAATCAATCAAGGAAAGCCAAGAAAGAGCGCATCATGGCTCACACCTCAGCCAGAGTGGGAGGCTGGATGCCATAGTGCATAAAGACATCTTCGTGCTGCATGATGGCATGCGCCACCTTGACCTGATCTTTGCTGTAAGGTACGAGGGAAAGCTGACGGCCCGTCACACGGGTGGCGTTGGGGGATCGAATTCTATGGCAATGCATTTGCTTTTGTGAAAGACGGTGGGATTTGGCCAGCGACCGGAACGGCCCAGCTTGCTCGTACGAGTCTGATCGTGTTTGGGGAGGCGTATGGAGACGAACCGAATGTCAGGTTGCATGCCACTGTACTTGTAAAAGCGGGCATGGGCCGTGTCTGTGGCCAGATGTCGTCGGGTGTGGGGCCCAAGATTCAGCTCCAGTTGAGAGTCGGCTGTGCAACAGTTGGCATGGGTCCGAATTGAGCATTGAAGCGCGTCGATTGAAGCGCATTGTCAGCAGAGCGTCTGGCACTCGAGCAAGGACAGACATTGGGAGGTGAAATCAAGGTCAATGGGCCAGTGAGCACCGGCGTCCTTGCGTGTCAGGTGCTGGGTGAGGTTCTGTAGAACATCGACCTATGTGATGGAGTGAGCACAAGAGAATAAGGGCTTGGTTTATCTCAGACTGGCCCTAGCAAAGGCATCAAAATGTGATGCCTTTGCACGCTGAGAATTGGATGCGGGGCTGGAGGGTAAGACCGACCCTTTCACCGACGACAGCGTCTCTGAGCTTCAGGACGCCATTGGCAAGAACTGTGGACATGCGCCGGTCCCCTTTGTTACCCTCTGTGCGGGTGGCAAAGGCCAGGCTAAGCCAGCATGTAGGATAAGTGTGGGGGACAGCGCCGGCAGTCGGAGATGAGACAATGATAAGAAACGCACCGGTTAGTACCCTTTGACCGGCGCGTGACACGGACAGCGTCGACCTTGAGCGTCGAAGAGGCTGGCAATCAGCGAGTCATGTACCAGAGCGAGCGCAAATGAGATGGCAAGATTGAACCGGGGGCAATGGGCAAGCACACACGAACCAAACTGTAGGGCAAACATCATGGTTTCAGAGAGAAGAATACGTCGCTTGAAAGAGGGTTCTGGCGGGCGCAGGAGTGAAGGACTGTGAGATAAAGCAGGACAAATCTGTGTGTGTGTGAGTGTGTGTGTATGTGTATGTGTGTGTGGGCTGCAGGCACCGAATGTCAGGTGGCGGCGTGCAGACCCAAGAGGAGGATTCAAGTTGAGCAAAGTAGGTGGATTGTTCCTGAGCGACGCTCAGAGAAACTTCGCCGACTAGGCTTGCAACGGGTGGGGTGTCGAGATCACCCAGCTTCTCAACGTCGGCAATCATAAAAATGGCCGCTGTGAGGAGCAGAGCGCAACGGGGAGGGGCGACAACAGACAGCGGTGAGTTGACTGAGACATGGCAAGCAGACAAGGCTCGAGCTGAGCAAATCTTTGCAACCAACATGTCTCCGAGTCGCGCCAAGCGCGCCAGTGAGCAAGCTCTTCATCATAGCTTGGGGCGGGAGCCGCAGGGTTGATGCGGTTGGCCGGCTCGGCCATCCATCGATGGCGTCTACATTGAGGCACATTACAGGCGAGCCCCATGAGGGAGAGACTTAAAGGCTAGCAGGAAACGAGGGTTGTGCCAACGCACACGGTGACAAAGGGCTCATCGTATGGCAGCAGAGCGACATGCCGCCCAACGATGCACAAGTTTCGAGCGCGCTGAGTCATGACCGCCGGCAAGCAGTCCTATCCCTGGCCAAATGGGTATTGTTCCGCCCGACACAAGCCCACGGGCGAGGTGCTTGCTTGGCTTTCAACCAGCGTAAGGCAGGCAACCAAGCAGGCAGGCAGACAGGCAGGCAGGGGATAACAGTATCGTGGGGCGGGCAGCCTGCCAGAGAGCGCCCAACACGTCGTGCAAAGCAGAGGATCAGCGTCAGCTACCAAGCCACGAGCACGATACGCACCCCTTCACCTGGCCACAGCAGAGGCAACCAAACCCCGATTGCCCCCCTCCATACACTGAGTCTCAGACAGGCAGCGGTCGTTGCTCACCAGAGAAGCCCCTGCGCCATCAACAGCGCGCTGACCCAACAATGCAGACAGCGCGCGCCTGCGCGCGCGAGAGAGAGAGAGAGAGAGAGAGAGAGAGAGAGAGAGAGAGAGAGCGAAATTTTGGAACAAAATTTCAGACTTTAGATTAGACCACCAAGATGTTACTTTAGAAATACATGACATTGTAACTTGACTGTCAAGTTGGGGCTTTAACCGGAAAACTCAACCCTTTTGCAGCGGAATGCAAAATAGTATAATATATGACTCTATAAGTTGATATACTTGTTGTAGCATGATATAGAGTTATTGTAGATGTGTTCATGGCCAAGGATGTCGTCACAATCTGACATTCTATCGTCAGCAAGTGTTCTGTCTCAATCTCTATCTCTATCTCTGTCTCTGTCTCTGTCTCTATCTGTAACTCTCTGTCTCTCTCTGTCTCTGTCTCTAATTCTGTCTCTGTCTCCTGTCTCTGTCGTTCTCTATTTCTCTCTCTCTCTCTCTCAAATTTTCTCTCTCCCTCTCTTTCTCTCTCAAAATTTTTCTCTCTCTCTCTCTTCCTCTCTCTCTCTCACTCTCTCACTCTCTCTGTCTCTACCAGCGTCATGTCGCTAAAGCCTGTGCCTGGAGCTGGCGCGGGACGGAAGCAGCAGCCGCTGCGGAAGGGCCATAGCCTCATGGACTGGGTTCGGCTCAAGGGCAAAGAAAGTGCGTTTGGTCTCTGGCCCTCCGTCTCCGTCTCCGTCTCCGTCTCCGTCTCCGTCTCCAGCTCTGTCTCTGTCTCCGTGTTTATGTCATGCAGCAGCCCTCCTTGTCCTCCATCGCGGTTGGCGAATGCACTTGGCCCCCGGGGGCGCGTCGGCTGCTGACGGCTTGCCTCTCACCTTGCTTCTTCTTCTTCTTCTTCTTCTTCTTCTTCTTCTTCTTCTTGGTTTGATGAGCTGCGCAGAGACGGCGCTGGCAGGTGGAGATCGACCCAAGGACCGCAAAGTGACACCGGCCATGTTGGCTGCCCACGCTGTACGCTCCAACCCAATGTCCTCATCTTCCAAGAACCGCACGCCTCGCGCTCACTCACACAGTTCCTCCGCTGTCTGGCTTTCAAGGGACCGGATGGTGATATTTGGATGGCTTTTCAAGGACAGGTCTTCAACATCTCCCCTTACCTAGACTTTCATCCTGGTGGGCGCGAAGAGTTGTTACGGGCATTTGTTCGCCCCCCCCCCCCATTACCCCGACAACCCCCATCCTACCTTTAATGCTCTTGACCCACCATGCTCCAACAGGGACAAGATGGCACAGAGCTTTTTATGAAGTATCACCCTTGGGTCAATATTTTCAGCATGATGGACGCTTGCTACGTTGGCAAACTGGTGACCCCTGGCCCCACACGCCTTCAAACGTTTGCTCAGCCCATGGGCGGGCGGCCTGCTCAGCGCACCACAGGGCTTTCCGCTTCAAAACGCACTAGCAGTGCACCCCAAACCGTCTCACCCATTGCCACCCAGCAGTCAGCCACCACGCAATCAGCCACCACCTCCTCGACACCTCGCGTCAGCAGCCTCGACACGCCCACCGTGCAGCGCACTTCAGATCAACCATCCATTTCCCTGCCCGACGACGACACTTTCGCTGCTCCCAGGGCGCCACAACCTCGCACAACTTCCGCCAAGTTTCGCGTTGAATTTTATGAATCAACCAAGGCCATTCACGTTGATGTTTTTGGACCTCGCCAAGGTCCCGCCTGCCCCGTCACGGCTTTGATTGAGCCCGACTACTTGCGCCTCGTAGCCCTGGACCCCGGCGCTCGCATCCCTGTCTGGAATCAGGCTTGGCGCCTGTCCGGTCATATTATCACTTCCTCCAGCGATCGATACCAAGTCAACTCCTTCAAAACGTCTCTTTGTTTTGCCAAGACCGGCGCATCTCAGGTACGTACGCGCATCATTTCAAGTCGGTGCAAGAGTACCATCCAACCTGATGCCCCCTTCCCTCACACGCCCCGCCCCCTTCAACCGATTCTCGCAGTGGGGCTCACTGGGCTCAGACTTGGGCTCCTGGTCCGTATCCCCAAGTGATACCACACAACATTGGCTACCTGCGTTGGTGGTCGGAACTCACCGTGCTTCAGCTGAAACCGTTTTTCTTCACATTCGCGCGTGCGTTCCCAGCTTTGACGTTGCCCGTCCAACATGTGCTTGGCCCCTGGTTTTTTTTAAGCTCTTTATTTTTTCATTCCTCCTTTCACTGTGCTTTGTCGTGACTCCCTGACCCGACGTGGTATTTTTCACAGACCACATCTCCAACAGACTCCCGTTTTGCCAGGCCAACACGTGGAGCTCAAGGTCACCCATCAAAGCCACATTATCATTCGCCCTTACACCCCCATTCCGTTTGACAGCTGTCAAAGTCATCCCTTTGTACCTAGCCCCGATAGCTTGCTCTTCTATATCAAGGTCTGGAGTTGCTCGTGGGCAAGCCGAAATCTCTCAATATCCAATTCCATCCCCCTCATTCCTCTTCATGCTTGTCGTGGCCACTTTAGATTTATCCAGACGGTCCAATGTCCAACGCGTTGGTCAATCTATGCCCCGGCGAGTCATTGCAAATGGCTTATCAACCTCAAGGTGTGTGCCAGATTTAAGCAAGCCCTTTGTGAAAATTGTGAAATCAAAAAGTCTCATCGTATGCCGTCTGCTTTGCTGCGAGAACTTAGGTCCTATTTTCGACCCACTCACACCTCCTGCTGCCACCCGCTACGTCATGCTGGCCGCCGGCACTGGTGCGTATCCCTGCGTTGCGCACATCGTGATCTGCCTGTCTTTATCGTGCCCCATGTCCTGCAAATTCTGTGGGATCCAACAGGCGTAACCCCAATGTTGCAAATCTTGGCAACTGCTCGAGTGCCGTGTATCCTCTTTGTATACAACACCCTTTCTGAACACCATGAATTCACCCATTGGATCCGAGGTTTTAAACATGTGACCGCGCACTTTATCACCACCCAACCGGCTGACACAGAGGTGTGTGCTCGCTTGCGATGAACCTTGCCTTCTCCTGCGATGGTGCCGCGAATGTCCGGTTTGATGCATCTTTGAATCTTCTTTTGCAGAACGTGGGCACTCTACAGGGTCGATTATGCCAGATTCACTTGCAACAGTGCAATGTTTTGCAAGAGGAAAATCGTTTTCTTGCCTGTGGGCCAGCAGGTTTCATCCAGTGCTGCGTGAGCCTGCTCGCACACATGCCCAATAAGCACATTTTCAATTGACATTTAGACCATTTGGCAAATCATGCACATGGCCCTTCCTGGCCCCCTCACTTGCATCATATTATCTTTTTGACGAGAGCTGATGCGCTTGAGTCTGAATTGCCATGGCATCCGGAGTATTCAAACCATTGCACGACCATACGATTCTTTCTTGGGTTGAGCAGGGCACCCGCACCACATGAAAACACAGCCCGAGCCCGAGCCCCGACACACTTGACATGATTGAATAGCCACGCGGCGTCCGCTCAAACCGAATCAAGCTGGTTCTGGGAAAGGACAACATTTGCCAAGGTAGGAGAGAGTTGGATTAAGACTTGATGCGTGGTGGACTACCTGATGCCGTAGCGATCACGCTTGTGCTTGAACGCCCAGTGCAGGCTCTGCACAACTCAATCGCCTCGTCCAACTTGACCGCCTCCAACGCCCTGACCAGCCGTTTACGGGCGTCGTTGTCCTCGAGCAGATCTTCGGCCACACGTGCCAAAGAATAGGTGTCGTGCTCCTTTTGTAAACGCTCGCCGGGCCTGGCATTGGCGTGGCGGTACTTTTCAAGGCCGCCTTGGTAGTTGTAACGAGGTCCATACGTTGCTTCATCACAGGGCCCACCCAGGTCGAAATCAATCAGGAAAGCCATCGGCTTCGGCCTTTGCTGCGTTTGCACAGTCTCTTCCTCTGCGACCGCTTCCACGACGAGGTCTTTCAGTGAAAGCTCGTCGTGCGAGGGCTGACGGCTTTGACATGGCGTCACATTGCCGGACTGAGCCTCGGGGCTGTGCTGGCTCTCCTCCTCCTCCTCCTCCTCCTCTTTCTCCTTCTTTTCCCAGCTGGGCGGCTGAAACATCCAATCTTCCGGCTGCCAGCTGTTGCAAAAGAGAATGTTGCGCGGCAAAATGTCGCCGTGCACCAAGTCAAGTTTGTGCAACACTTGCACCTGCTTCATGACATCGATCAGCTGCATTGGCACCTGACGGCCGCACGGGGCCGTCTGTACTCGTGGGTACCGGAGAAGCACCAAGCTCGTCGCAAGGTCCTCCAACACCCACGCCTGGTAAAACTTGCCCGTCTCTGGCAACTCGGCAAGCGCACGGAGCAGATCGCGTGATGGTGGGAGGCGGGCAGTGTCATCGCCAATCTGGTACATTGTTGTACCCAAAGACTCGGCTTGGCGGCCCCAATAGTCGTAGTGCTTGATGACCCACGAGCCCGCACTGTCATGTACGTACTGCTGCACATTGGGCCCGTACGTTTCCTTGCAGGTCCATCCGGCCATGCCCCGAGCCGGGCAGGGAAAGGGCTCGGAGGAAAGCGGAAATCGATGACCGCTTTCGATAATCTGATGCTGGCGACCCGTCACAAACTCTCTGCAAGCGGTCAAAAGCGCCCAGACAGCCTGATGGTCGGCGCGGTTTTTGGAGATTTGGGCGGATCCAAGTCGGAGAAAAGCCACGTAGTATTCCTTCTCAAGGCCCTTCATCTTTTGAATCGTGGCAACCATGTTACTGCTGGTCAAGTGCAGGACCAGATAAGCGGTCACAATGTCACCACACACATTAATGTTGATGAAGGGATGAAGTGGGTGCTGCCTGTCCTTTCGCATTTTGTATTTTGGTCCCAAGAGGCCAAGGCGCACAACCTCGTTGCCCACTTGGCCACCAAATTCGTCAAAGTGCTGGGCGCTCATTTTGCACTCGCCCACGATGACGGGTCGCAGCAGGACGTCAAACCCCACCCAGTCAGCGTGCATGTTGGCTGAGCCAAGAGATGCCTGGTGTACCAAGTAAATGGGGTTTCTCACTGGCGCCAGCTTGGTGGCGAGGGTGGATGCGGATGTGTCAGCCAACGGCTCCGTCTCAGATGGGCTGGAGACAGCAACCTGGGCCGAAGTCGCAGCAAGGGCAGGGGCAATGAAGTGGTCCTGCAAAGCCAGTGTAATCAGTGACGAGAAGTGTGGCTCATGGCTCTTCACTTCGTTAGTCAGGCATGCGTTTGTGTACGCGCGGAGCAAAGTCGTATGTATGCCTTCTTGAGGCAGATTGGCAGACAAAAGCTCTTGAGCTCGCTGGACAATCTCAAGAGCCAGGTAATGACAGCTCGGAGGGAGTTGCACAATGCCAAAATGAAGTTTTTTTTTGACGTTGTGGTTGATGTCGCTAATTTTCGGGGTTTGTGAGGGTGACATCGTGGGCACGTTGGCCTCCACGTTCGTGGGCAACGAGGCTCCCTTCGGGGTCCACTTGTGTTCTAAGAATTATTGACGGCCCCAAGGCACCACAAGTAAGCTTGAGCACCGAGTCCATGCGCACAGGGCCGGCGGGAAACAGCCGTCGCCTGTCGAGCGCCAAGCCAGCGAGCGATGCTTTACCAGGAATGTGCACATAGTTTTCAAGCTGGTCGCAAGTAAGACGGTTTTTCTTGCAGAGAGTGTACAAAAAGGAAACTTTGTCGACCGACATGCTTGCTAGATGATTCACGAGGTCATAGCCTTGAGGAGGCGCAAAATCTTGCACGAGGCACTCGAGCTGACAAGCCATAAACAAAGTGAGGGTACGCTGTGAGTCCTTCGTTCCAGACATTTGCGTTGTTAGACAGCCGTTTGTGGACACGAGGGGCGGCGGGAAAACCTGATCAACCAACCACTGCGTTTCGCTCCTCCCGCTCCCGCTCCCGCTCTGCTCGTCGCTCCCGCTCTGCTCGCTGCTCCCGCTCTGCTTGTGCTTGTCGCTCCTCCCGCTGTGCTTGTCGCTCCTCCCGCTGTGCTTGTCGCTCCTCCCGCTCTGCTTGTCGCTTCTCCCGCTCTGCTTGTGCTTGTGCTTGTCGCTCCTTGAGAAAGCTATTCAGCATCAACGCGGTCGCTTCGGAATCCAGATTTAATCCTTTGAGGCGCTCCGCCAAATCAGCAAAGGCCGAATCGAGAGCCATGCTTGCGGGTCTTGCGTTCAAGACACCAGACGCGAGGCGGGGAGGTAGCCAAGTGATCAGCAAAGAGAAGCAGAAAGAAAAAAAAAAAAAACGGTCAAGCAAGAGAAGAAGAAGAAGAAGAAGCCAAAAAGTAAGAAAAAAAATGCACCACCCGCACCCTCAAAGAAGAATGGCATCACGCCGCCAAACACCACCATCATCTAAAAATAGAACAACGGCTCGGTTTTCGGCGCGCACCGCCAAACGGCTTGAAACGGTTTTTTCTGGGCCCACTGTTTACTGCTCGTGCCAAACATTGTTTCCTCGCACGTGACCAGCTCCGACACGGGTGAACGTCATCGTCCAGGCGATCAATTACATGCAGATGCATTTGTCAACCAGATAAAAGAGAGAGAGAGCGCGAGAGAGAGAGAGAGAGAGAAAGTGAGAGAAAGGCCGCCAAAAGCTAACAGCAATTCTGGTGTGTACACGGAGGACGGTTACACTCAAAAAGAACATGGCACACCACCAAACCAAGGGTCGGATGCGGAGGGAAACAAACAGATACAAAAGGCACAAATCAGGTTCTCAAGACCTCTCCAAAACCCCGATACCCCGCCAACAACGCAACAACGAGACAATGCAGCGACACTCTCCCCGACGGAAAAGAGAAAAAAAAGGGGGGGGGGGGGGGGGGGGGGGGGGGAA